TCGCGCCATAAGCTCGTTAGTAATGACGGTTGACTACATATGCCTGCCCCCCCCCCCCCCCACTCCACCCAAAACAAGTTTCTGCCTACGACCCTTGCTTGTAGTGAACAAGTAAACACGGTAATTTCACTCGGTAAGAAATTGTCGTTGACGTGGTACTCCGTCACAGAATGCGGGGTCTGGAGAGGCCCAGGACGTCGTTGTCTTTAAGAAAGCAAGGTATCGCGCCGTAGGCCTGCAAGGAGGAGGAGGAGGAGGAGGAATAAATGAGGAAGGACAGGGAGGTTAGGTAGGCCTGCAAGAATGGAGCAATGACGTCCGCTTTGCTGAAACGAAATGCAGCATCATCATACGCGCATACCGTCGCAGCCCCGGAGGCGGAAGCTGGTCACTTCCCATAGCTTCAATGCACGGAGGGCGAGGCTGCCGCTTTTAGTACACCCCTCGGCTGGTGCTCTGTGCGATCGCAGGGCGAGATAGCATAGACGCCTGCGAAGCGGGCATCCCGCCATAGAAAGGCCTTGCACAATGCGTGGCCCGGCCGTTGCCGTTTTGGGAGTAAGGCACCGAGACGAGCACTTGCTCCGCTGTCGCCGCGGTGCGCGCACCCCGATGATGCTGATGCTGATGACCTCTGATGAATGGCGCTTACCCACAAAGGGGGATGGGCCAAGAACCGGGCGGCAGGATACTTAAATGAAACTAAAATGAAAATGAAGCCAATCTGAAAAAGTAGCTTAAAATAATACTACCAAAAAACAAAAATGTTTGCTGAGCAAGCGGTCAAACCATCTTTTGTTTTTGAAAGACATAACTACGAATTATAAACTAAAGATCTGAAAAGGTAGGGGATCACTAGCATGGTAATCTTTTAGTTGCGTTGATGTAATCAAACACACCCCAAAGAAGAAGTTGTACCGTCGCTATCGGTGCCTCAGTTTTGAGACATTGCCACAGGGATGCTTCCAGTGCCGTTTGCGATTATATTCAGGCATCCGAACGTATACCTTTGTGATCTTCAATCAAATAATTATTATTTATTACCCCCCCCCCAAAAAAATTCTCAATGGTGAGGTGAAGTAAACGCAGCTGAGTGGTAATCACAACACCTGAAATCTCAAAATTTTCTCAACTTGACTTTTCCGTTTTTTTTCTTTTTTTTTCTTTTTTTCGTTTGCTCTGTTTTTATGTGCTTTTCCTTACATTAGTCATATTGTAATACAAATTCTATACACATAGTTATAATGCTCACAGAAAAAAATGCACTACGCTTTCTTGGTCAATCCCCTTGAGCGGGTGTGAGCCATGAGTCTAGGGAAACAAACAAATAGCACCCGAGACGAACCACCTGTCTTATAATACTTCCACGATTCGCCCTGCCCCGCGCCCAGAATCCGCACGTGTAACCTTTTTGCCAGAAAAACACTAACCCTCGCTGCTTTTCATGCGTACTTGGTAATGTCCGAACGCCCGATCTCTCCGCAAAGGGCGTCACCGTAAAGTTAGGTAAAAGCCACTCTAACCTTGGAAGGTAGAGGGGTTTCACTTAAGGTTGACAATGCGACCAGACTGCGCGCACGAAGTAAGCGAGGCGTCTGACTGTTTTCGTTCAGACATTTCTTTGTTTCTCCTAGGCAGAAACCACCGTTTCCTTTACCGTTTCGCAGACAAAGAAACCAAACATTGTCGTGGGATATTCACAGTGTACATGACACACTGAACTGGATATAGACTCTGTATTGGGCACAAAAGAAAGTGCAGGCGGATAGACAAGCAAGCATGCGGTTGTCACTTCCTGCGACCATGTTCCCCGTGCCTGCGTTGCACGAAAAACAAACAAAAGTATATATATATATATATATATATATATATATATATATATATATATATATATATATATATATATATATATATATATATATATATATATATATATATATATATATATATCACATAATAATAGTATACTTGAGGGTTTTACTCCCCGAAACTACGACACGGTTATGATGTACGCCTTAGTAGAAGCTAGGCTCCGGATATTTCGACCACCTGGAGTTATTTAATGTGCGCATAAATTCAAACAGGCCTCTATAGCATCTCGCCACCATCGAAATGCGGCGGACGCGATTCCATCCCGTGGCGGTCAGGTCAGCAGTCTAAGCACCAGAACCACATGACCACCCCGGCGGGTACAGAGTTGGCATTGGTGGCTACTTAGCGCTAAGTTGGCTATACTTCGCATCACGAAACGGTAAGAAGCTAAGACGGGCACAAGACGACTACACTCAGAGCGATTTTGCCGTCTTTCATAATGTCACTGTACCAGCTAGCTCAGGCCCAGCCTCTGGCTACTTCAAGACTCCACCTGGCGACAAAAATTTGGTATGGGCCACTTTCTGGCTATTCTTTAACTTATGCGCGCCTACAAGTACGCAGCTGCGAAGTTATGTGCATGTATAGAGAACCGTCGTTGCCAGTGCGCCGCCTGAACTACACGACATCTGTGCCAATGCTGCTTGCAGGTTCCGGAATCTGGTGCGCGACACCTGTTTGTGTGTGAAACATGGAGTGGTATTATGGAAACCGACCGATATGACGAGATTGATTTCTCTACATGAAAACTACTACATATCCCGCAATAACACCATATATTTTGCATGAAATGTGTACATACCAGCGCACTCTATTGGTTTTTCGCAATAGTTTAACGCACGTGACGTCACTGCCGTGACGGAAATGACGTCACGGAAAATTTGCGGGGGAACAATTCAATGACTGATCAGCAAGCCACCATCGTAACCCTGTCGAGGCATTAAATGCGAATGCTTCACGTGTTAAGCTTTATAGATCACGACAAAAAAAAAAAGCTGTGAAGACATTTTTCTTTGAAAGAGAACGTAAATGTTATCGTCAATCCCTGATATCTTAAAAATATAATTCAATGCACGTTAAGACGCTTACTCCCCGCAATTGCGTTTTATGGAGGCGGAAATGTTGTAGGCCCGTGTACTCAGATTTGGGTGCACGTTAAAGAACCCCAGGTGGTCAAAATTTCCGGAGCCCTCCACTACGGCGTCTCTCATAATCATTAGTGGTTTTGGGACGTTAAACCCCACAAATCAATCAATCAAGCAATTGCATTTTGGCTTTGGCATCGATACCGATGTCACAGTATGCTACGCTGCACAGGCAGTACATTTTGTGTCGAGCGGAGTGTCATCAGGGATATCGGTGTTGTTCTCAGGGAATCGTTTTGCAGAGCCACGTCGCAGGAACGTTTTCATTGCTGGACCTGGCAAGCACACCACGAAACCTTCACACACGAGAATGAAACAGGCAGGACGCAGCAAGCAGTTACAGCAGTTTATTTACAAGCACGGAGGCAAGCCGGTTTAGCAAAGTGAGACGGAACAAGAAGTAACCATCAAATTACGGACGTAAGTGCAGAACATTACAGTACGGACGATTTCGGTGATATGAGCTGTTTCGGAGAACACAGACCGTTGTCCGAGAAAAAACTTACCAGCCAAATATTTACGACAATGGCGTGAAACGGTCGTTGCTTAAAATTTGCACCATTCGCCACCTCACTTGTTAGCACCTATACCTCCCTTAGAGAAGTACGACAATTAACTGTTTTTGTTCGTAATTTGCGGATCACCATGCGTAAGCGCAACTGGGGCTACGCCGATCATCACCAACTTCTGGATGAAACAAAGAAAGCGTCGGTGGCTGTAATTATCGCTGAATGAGCGGATTTCGGTTCACCAGGAGACAGAAGACACCAACACATGTAGAGGACCAAGTCATTATATTACACATCACACCGCGTAACCCTGCGGGAGCAAAACCAGGCCTCCAGCGGTATATTGTACGATTTGTCCCCGCTATATCTTACAATAGTGATTGCGCAGAAAGCTCAAGGTATGCCTCCGAATTCCGGTTTCGTAAATTATGCGACACAGGTGCACCACTCCATTGTTCCCCTTGAATAAAAAAGAATAAAAACGACGCACGAGTTTTGCGTCGGTACGGCAACAAAAAAAAAAACGTAACAGCGATTCACGGTACTCGATCGCCAAGTGCCAAACATGCATGGCCAACCATTCAATTGACGTAGCTCGATGCATGATTAACGACAAACGCTATATATCAACACGCTTGCGGTTTTTCACTTCACGACTTCAAAGCTGAAAGTATTTTGCAACGTGTCAGCAAGTATTACTATCGAAAGTTTATTTTGAGGCTATCAAAAATAATTTACCGCGATGCGCATCTAAGCAGTGATATGAGCGGTGCGGCGGTTTGAAACGAAGAGGAGCAATGGTTACGTTAGATTTCTCTATGTAAGAACAGAGCGTTGCTGCACTTCAAATGCGCCTACAGCCACTCTACTCTTCGGCTAACCAGCGTTGCTGACCACTGCACATACATCACGACAAGGTCCGCAAGGCTGGCAACTAAGCCCATCCCATTTCGCGCAGTATACGCGTTACGTAGCATGACCGAGGCACCGGTTTATCATTGGGCAAGGTAGAATAATAGAAAATTCCAGAAGTTCATCCCGGAGTACACTGAGCAAGAAGCACAGTTTGCGTGCAATGTCAGGTCCATCACCCAGCGAAAAACAGGTCAAGTCGTCCGTGTAAAAGCTATGTGAGCTCAGTCGTCCAGACACGATACCAAAAGCAACGGTATGAGGTCAGGTAACGTGTTCTATCTACAACGTTGCTGAGGTCTTTTCCATCAAAATAATTTCGCGATTGCTTGTGCACGAACTGGCGGCACGAGAGAACAAAACACGAGAGAACAAAAAAAAAACGTAGTTGTACCAACAAAGATCTCTTTTGCGCCGAGATGTAACCGGTCCGTTGTGTCGTGCACTAGCTTCTACAAAAAGGCAGGCGCAGATCTACAACTACAGCCATCGGATTACGCCAGCGGTCCTGCCGCTGCGGGACGTCTTCTGCAGGCTCATTTCCGAAGACAAGCAGAGCAGATGATGATGATGATGATGCAGTTTGCGGATCTAGCCTTGCGAGGTTTGCAGGCGATCCCCGCGCGGTGGCAGGAATGCAACTACAGAACGTCCAAAGAATGTCCATCACAGGACCTCGGTAGCGACAGCGCTCTTGTAGGACACGACGTGCTGGGACGCAGAGCCACATAGCTGAATCTCCAGGACAAAACATAATCGCGGCACGACACTGATTGTTCGCCGAAGCCAGGAACGCTGCGTAAAATTCGGATATCACAACGTCCGCTGGAGATCCAGGACAGTGGGCAACAGGAAAATGGACACGACATCTTTGATCCAACAAGGACGGCGACGCATCGCCCATTTCACGGCACGGCCACCGGCGCCTTGTGAGAGCGCTGCGCGAAGGCGAAGTTCACGCCGGAGTCCCAACACTGTCGCAGCACGTGGTCTTCGGACTGCTTGCGGGCCCAGCAGTGGTGCCACTGCGACAGGTCGCTCGCGAGGTCGGCGTCCTCCGGAGGGGGCCGCGCCTCGATGCCGTTCACGCAGCGCCGACACGACAGGGACTCGTGGGTCGAGCTGCGGACCTCCTCGGCGTCCAGCCTGCGTCCGAGGGAAACGGGTCTGATTAAGGGCACAAGAGGCTAAAATAAAGGTGGCACTCGCGGACAACTTGGAAATGTCAAAACAGCCGATGTAACGTAAAAAACTACATGTACCGCATCAGTGCGCGCTTAGGAAATCAAAGCGGTAATGCAGTCTTGTTGGTTCCTTGAACTGGCAATCATCCTTGCAGCGCATGGAAACTCTAAAGAGCTAAATGTGTCAGTAACGTATGCTGTGGGGCTAGTTGGTGCGTAGCTGTGTCAAACATCGTTGGCGCAAACTTGAAAGAAGACGAAAGAAGAGACGCAGAAGAAAAGCGCACACTCGCAACTGGCTTTTATTAAACCGAAGCTCTTGTTCGGAAACCCTCACGAATGAGAACAACCACACGAAAAGCCCAAACTATTATCACAACCTATCAGATAAAAAAGCATGCGTAAGGGTTATGATAACGAATTTGCTTTTTTCTTCGGTTTAATAAAAGCCAGTTGCGAGTGTGCGCTTTTCTGTGTCTCTTCTTGGTTTTCTTTCAAGTTTGCGCCAACGATGTCTTACACAGCTAAATGTGTGTAAGAATATTGCCACACGCGCGCATTTTTTTTTTAACTAGCCACCCGTTACACGCGCAACTACAGCCTTGCGCAGACCGCGTCGTAATGTCTAGAAACCTTTCAAATGATTTTAGACTCTTGTGATAATCTAGCGTGCAGAACGGGAACAGTACAACAAACGCACGCGCTGCCACCAACGGTGACGCTAGTAGTCTTCAACGCTGCATGTATCAATGCCGACGCGCTTTACCATTGATCCGTCTCATCGATTGATTGATTGATTTGTGGGGTTTAACGTCCCAATTGATCCGTCTCATCGTCGAGTATACGTGCGCTGATGTTGAAATCTGAGTTATATTCTTCCCTTTTTCGGCACAAGGTCAGCCAATCAAAGTTTTTTTTTTCATCTCTGCCATCTTCAAGTGCGCATTTCCTTCGCCGTTCTGCAGTGACAGGGCACGTACCTGAAGAGGTCCCGGAGCTCGGCGGCGCTGAAGTGCCTGGCCACGTCTTCCTCGGAGTCGACGACGCAGCTGGAGAGCGCCTTCTTGTGCGTCTGCCGCTGCAGGATCTTCTCCTCGATGCTGCCCGAGCAGACGAGCCGGTAGACGAAGCACGGCTTGCGCTGTCCGTCCCGCCACACGCGGGCCATCGCCTGCGCGTCGTTCGCCGGGTTCCAGTCCGGGTCGAACATCACCAGCCTGCGACGACAGCAGCCTCTTTCGTGTACCTTCAGTTCCTCGAAATTAACTAGAGGGCTCGTTCATGACTTCTTTGCGCAAACACGTACACGGACACAAGGAAAAGAGGCAAACAACACGGGCGCAAACTCACAACTGGTTTATTTTGAACAACGAACTGTACTTATATCTTCACGTAGCCCACACGCCCCCACCCCCCCACCCATCGGTGGATCCAGGAACACAGGAGATAACCTAAAGAAAGCTTATTCAGCGCTACGTCATGATAAGAACCACAAAACGACAAAAAATTTAAGAGTTCACGCATCTGCAGACGGATTGTTGCACGCGCCGAGGGGCGTGTGGGCTACGTGAAGATATAAGTACAGTTCGTTGTTCAAAATAAACCAGTTGTGAGTTTGCGCCCGTGTTGTTTGCCTCTTTTCCTTGTGTCCGTGTACGTGTTTGCGCAAAGAAGTCATGAACGAGTACCAACTCGCCCAACTTTCAGTACTGTTGTAACTAGAGGGCACTCTGGCGCTGCGATCGTTCAGCGACCATGGGAATGATTGGGTAGTACACGCATTTGCCTAGAGTCTTCGTACTTGCGGGTGGCGAATCGCACTTGCGGCTTCGTTTATTGCTGTGTTTCGATTTCGTTTTGAAAGAAAGATTCAACCCTTTTAAACTTCGTGACCCAACTTGGAAAAATAATTAAAAAAAAACAGGATGGTGAAGCGCAATCGCTGAACATTTGCCGATTTTCGTTTCACGAGAAAACAGCTTCAAGCCACACGAACACACACGGAGCAAAAAGCAGGCCAGAAGTACGAAGTTTAGACAAATGTGTGTACTACCCATCATTCCCATGTTCGCTGAAGCGCCGTGTGTTGCAGCTCCCGTAGACACTAGCGCCAGAGTTCCGTCTAGTAAGTACTGTGGGAAACTCTATGCCTTCAGAGGCTTGGGTACTATAGAGGGGACTCGAGTGTGGTCCCTCCGTCCCTATCATCTGAAGGAGCAGAGTGGGCCCCACTCGCCTCGTTCAGGTGATAATTGATTCCGCAAAGTCGTATTTGACTCGGCAAGCAAGGGGTGGGAGCAGCTTTGCGATCAAACTCCCTAAATTGCTGCTTGGGCGAGTTGGTTGCGGATTAAGATAAGTTTACCAGCGCAAAAAAAAAAAAAAACTGTGTGTGTGTGTTTGTTCTTAAGTGTTTCATTTTTTCTTCAATGACGAAGCTCCCCCCTTTGTATGGGGAACCCTGCGCACGCCCGTTTGCACAGGGTCTCGGTACGCGCTTACGCCTATGTATGCGTGCCCGTGTACTTCATATGTATACAGCGCTTCTTTACCCACACCCTAGAAAAAAAAAAGGGGGGGGGGGACCCTTTGACCCCGTGATCGTCCTGCCTTTAATCAAACACGACGCAACGTGATGATGGCATCGTGCGACCTCACGTTAAGTAATGTCGTCATGACACCATAACGACTTGAAACATGTTGCCCATCCGTGACGTCATCAGTAGATGGTGATTTCTTGCATCACTATATAGTGCTGAAGCCGGCGGCGGCTAATTTTCGCGTTCTACGAAGGCGGCTAGGGTCCATATTCACAGACCAAACTTGGCATCACCTCGAGTTTTCCTTAAGTTTCTGTACCTTCCACGTTATGAAGGCACAAAAATGTTAGAAGGGTTGATAGGCGGGGCTAGTTGGTATATATTCATAATGAAATGATTGGGAGCGCAAACTAGCGGGACACAAGAGAGGAGACAAACGAGCGCAGGCGCTTGTTCGTCTCCTCTATTGTGTCCCGTTAATTAGCGCTCCCAATCATTTCATTAAGGACAAAAATGGTAACGAGGTGAAAGATTACAAGATTGGTTCATACATATATAAAGCACAATAAAGGCTCACAACCGATAAGAAAACCTGGAGGTAAGGCTGAATACGGGCCTAAGGCTTCACATTCACACATTCAAGCCTTCACATTCACACATTCAAGCCTTTACGTTCACACATTCAAGCCTTCACATTCGAACCCCTCTCGGATCCCCCGCGTCCTCTGCCCTGCAAACGAGGACGACGCTGCACGACGACGACGTCGCCGAAAAGCCCCCGGAGCTACGCGCGATTCCGCGGACTCTCGTTCCCTTGGCCGAAGCACATCGCGGGTCGCCAGGGGCGCGTCGGTGTGTCGTCACCTCCCCTCTCGAAAGAGAAGAACGCCATCTTTCTCCGCAATGCTCGCTTCCCCCTCTTTTCACGTTTCGTCCCGCTACAAGCCCGCACAGTGGGTCCTGCCCAGTACGTTGCAGCGAAGAAGCGCGCACCGAGAGTGTAACGGGCCGCGCCGACACGGTGTCGGAAGCGAGCCTTGTCTTGTCTCCTGGGAGATCCTTCTTCCAAGGGCGAGGCGAAGAGCGAAGAAGAAGACGTTGCGCCACGGGAGACAAACAGCGTTAAGGGGACAAACGAGGAGAGCTGCTGCGTACACGGCGTCAGCGGGTGACGAAGAGGCGACGCAAACACACGTGGGGGCGGCATGCACAGGCTCACGCTTCCTTCACGACCGTGGACGCAAACGACGGTTATAGAGCGGAACAAAGCAAGGAAGACAGTATTGAAAATGGGCGACGATGTCCTATACGCAGGTATCCTATATATAAATGATGCGGTTCGTGCGAATGAATGAATGAACAGACTTTTATATAAAGTCCAGCAGTTTTCCACGGGCGAGCTGGGGGAAGAGGGGATTAACCCCTGTCCCTTCCCACTCTCCGTTGATATGTGGGGTTTAACGTCCCCAAACCACCGTATGATTATGAGAGACGCCGCAGTGGAGGGCTCCGGAAATTTTGACCACCTGGGGTTCTTTAACGTGCCACTCTCCGTTGATTATGATGGCGGTGCCTCAGGTGACCACTCGAACGAAGTCCTTGCACCCGGGCGGCATCTTCAGCTTGCCGACCGGGCGAAGCATTTTTTTTTTCTTTTTTGCACTGGGATACGGTGTGACTAAATTTAAATAAAAAATGATATAACTAAAATTAATTAGTCCTGGACTCGCTTCACTCCGACGTCGACCTTGAAACAATTGTCGGGACAACTGCGGGCTCTATACTATCAGAACATCCTCCTTTCATTACCACATCTTCCGGGGCCGACAAAACCGTTACAAATGATCCGTTTTACCAAGTACAGATGCCACTTAGAGAAAAAAAAAGAAATAGGTTTGAAGCCCTACGGCATGGAATCCATGGATTACTAATTTATGACTGGTTGTGTACCGATGCGCTCGAAAGTAATATACCGCGCAATTGCCGCATTTTACGGGCACTCGTATTCGGGTAAGAAACTCGGAGGCTAAAAAATGCTCGACTAACTCACGTAACAGCGCGAAAATAAAATTAATAAATGAAAAATAAACGAAATGACGGCGGTAGAGAGCTGTCAGCGTTCCTTTCAAGCTGTGTCTCGTCAATTTTTATTGCGTAATATTTGACACGCAGACACATGAGTTGAAATGAACCAATGAGCCCAACAGGAGACCATGCTTGAGGAGTTCAGTGCAGTGTGACGAGCGGCGGTATGAAAAATATAGTTTATAGAGTCACCTATATCACCGAAAAAGTTTCAAGGAAGCTGAGACGCTCCGGCTGGTTCAGGCTTTTGTCCGGCTAACATATAGTATTCCTTTCCAGGAGATCAATAAAACAGATATACCCCCGTATTCACAAACGCTCCTCGACTCGACTTTCACCCTTCACTTGACAGAGTTGAGCACTGCGCCACTGCTCGGCTGAAAATGACGCTGCACTACTCAAGAATAGCAGCAAATTATCACTGATATGCAGTGACTTACCCTGCCTAGAGATGGCGCTCCCATCGGCTTTCTCAAGTGAAGGTGGAGCGTTGAGTGAAGGGGCGTTCAAGAATACGGGGGATAAAGGCCCTGGATGCGTTGATCCGAACGTTGTACAAGGCGGCTCTCGGCCTATACCACTTGGAACTTCCACAGAACGTCTCGAAGCCCTTGGTACACACAATAATTACGAGGAGTTACGCGCAAAGGGTGCTCATTTGTCAACGGAAAGGGCTTACATTAACCACGCCTGGGAGAAAATCGCTATGCCGTGTAGGTTACCCAGCTTGTCCTCGGTATGCTGGAGAAGAACTGGAGTCCATGGTTAAACAGCTACGTGACAAGATTCTAGTACCCCTATCCAAAAAAAAAAACAAAAAAACATGAGCCCACGATATCCGATAGCAGAAAGGTCGTAGTGCACGAGCTGGCAAGTTGCAGCGGCAATTCGGGAAGAATCCGGACACTGTGTACACAGATCTCGCCCGACGCGGCACGAACAATTAGGTACGCGCTCGCAGTCGTGGGAGCGGCCCAGGGTCAAAGCCTTCTTACTTGCGCCACGGCTCGAGCCACGTCCGCGAACATCGCCGAGGCTTTGGCCATCGCGCTTGCTATTAAAACTAAGGATATCCTGGGAGAATCGTCCCTTATGCTCACCGATCCCATCATGGTCGCATGTAGACTCTTTCTCACCAGAAGACAAGCACACAACACCATTCACCTATTAGGACCGGACCTAACGCAGTACCATGCTATCATCTGGTGCCCGGGTCACGCAGGACTCGATGGCAACGAGAGAGCGGACGGCGCAGCTCGTGCCGCTATCTCGTTACTTACCAGCCGAGCGGCCGACCACTCCGACGACAGCTCCTTCTCATTCTGCGAGACATCCTTGAGTGCACCAACGGCTTGAGCGACGAAAGTACGGTGTACCACACCCTGCTCTACCCGGGGCGGAACTCTTTATGACTGGCGCCATATACAAACACGCACATATCCTAATCAGCATGCCTATCACCCCGCGATGTTCAGCGATGGCTGTCCGTGGTGCGGAGGCAGGCCCACTCTCGCCCACATAACGTGTAGTTTGTCAGAACAGGCCAACCGAAATCATCTCGCCGCAAGTAAAATTTTCGTAAGGGAGCAGTGGGAGACTTTGCTCGCCAGCGAGGATCTCCCTTCTTGACAGCGTTTCTGGACCTGGAGCAGCGGGCCGCTCAAGCCAGTGGAGCCCTGAAATAGGGGCCCCACCTACAGGCTCCCCGCACTTTTTATTCCCTTTTAATAAACATTTTGATATATACAATTAATAAACAGCAATAGGCACGTGTACTAAAGAGGAAGCCCCAATATTTCTGTTGACTGTAAGAGCAAGACATCAAGGTGGGAATATCCGCGGATATTCCTACCTCCATATTCACACCAGGATAAATGATATTACCACCAGAATAAAGAAAGTTATCTTCCTTCCTTCCTACCTACCTACCTACCTTCCTCCCATGACACAGTGGATAGTCATGCACTTAAGATACTGCGTCCAGTAATATAAAACGCAATAAAACAGTTTAATCTCACGCGATTTCTTTTGTACGCTCCCTTCTATCAAAGGACTTCTCTGCTTCCATCTATGCTCCTACTTTTTCGTGCCTTCAACCCCCTTCCCCCAGCGTAGGGCAGCAAACCGGGCGAGCGTACGGTTGACCTTCCTGTCTTTCCTTCCCCCCCCCCCCCTCCTTCTGAGATACGATATAATGCCTACTATTCTAATACTGACCCTAGTAGCCAAGTAACAAGAAACCATAAAAAGCTCCGATGTCTTCCGTAACCAGCACCCATGAGCGCTCGCCTAATCCTGCGGTTTAAATGGCAAAACTACGGTGATTAATTTTGACCACCCGGGTTCTATAACGTGCCGTTAAAAAGTAGATCGCATGAAGTCGCTATCGTACTAAACCGAAACGGCGGGCGTCCACCAGTATGTCACGCTATTGAGTGTGCACATCATTCCGTGTACCGCAACTTCCCTTCTTAAAAGGCCTAAAAGCGAAGGCAGTACGCATTGTGCAGCTACCAAGATGTTGCTCAGACGAACTAAACTGGGGCGTACCTCCGCGGTGACTTTACCCACACTAAGCTCGCTAAATATGATGTCCAGTTCGACATAGGTCATAAAGGTCTATATCCCATTCAGTTACAAGCACTTTTTTTTTCCTGCACGCTCAGTTTGCACAACCACGGCCAACGGCGAGACAATTTTCAAATTTCGCGCTGAATTTTAAAACAGTACCTGTGGCGCCATACGTCGGCGGCTTGCGCTACTGATGGCTTTCGAGATCGGGCGGCTCGCGCCGGTTTCGGAGGCCATGCTGCTGGACGTGCAGCTACACATGGTGCGACTCAGATGTCCGCGGCCGGTAGGCTGCGTCCGCAGAGCCGTTCAGGGAACGCCCAACCCATAGGTGTTCCGTGGCCCAACTAATGCCCGTATTCTAGAGCGCCCCTCCACTCAGCGCTTTACCTTTACTTGAGAAAGCCGATAGGAGCGCCATCTTTAGACAGCGCAAGTCACTGCATATCAGTGATAATCTGCTGCGATTCTTGAGTAGCGCAGCGTCATTTTCAGCCGAGCAGCGGCGCAACTCTGTCAAGTGAAGGGTGAAAGTCGAGTCGAGGAGCGTTTGTGAATACGGGGGTAAATCTGTCAAACGACAGCCCTGTCGAGGCGTCATGGTCGCCGAAAATCGGGTGATAAAAGGCGAAGGATGTTCTTTCGCGTCGCCAAGAGCTGCTGCTTCGAGCGTACATGCGTTTGCTACGACGTTTGCATTCTGAAAGGCCTTACACATGCGCGTCGATCAAGCGTTGGTTCGGGTTGAGCGCCATCGGTTTTAGTTTTTCCTCTCTTGAAAACTACCCTGATCTTGTCAGTCTTCGTTATAAGGTACATTTTCAATTATATTGGTGAATCGAGACTTAGAATAATAATAATAATAATAATAATAATAATAATAATAATAATAATAATAATAATAATACACGGGCCTCTACCATTTCGCCTCCATCGAAATGCGACCACCTCGGCGGGGATCGAACCCGCGACCTTCGGGTCACCAGCCCAGCCGCTGGTCCACCGAGGCAGACCAATCAATATTGGAATATCGACGTAAACATTAGTGACCAGTTTTATTTGTTTAATGTCCTGCATGATTGTCATAACTGGCTGCAACTTCAACGCCATTACGTACAAACTGCTTTCGCAATAAAAACTATAGATGGCTTACACAAAGAACACTGCTTGTGATATAATGGCAGAGAGTATTAGTGTCGCACCCTATTTTCATTTTGTCAAAGAGAGTATTAGTGTCGCACCCTATTTTCATTTTGTCAAAGAGAGTGAGCATCACTTACCTGTTGGCTCCAATAAGATTGAGTCCACAACCTCCTGCCTTACTACTGAGCATAAAGGCGAACTCTGGGCTGGATGGCATGTTGAAGGATGCCACAATCTTTGCCCTCTTCTTGATGGTCATGCTCCCGTCCAGTCGAAAAAAGCCATAACCACGCTCACGGCACAGCTTTTCGAATACGTCCAGTGTTTGGGTGTAGTTCGAAATGAGCACCACTTTGTCGTCGGTCGTGCTTCGGATCACGGCCAGCAGACTGTCGAGCAGGCGCAGTTTGCCCGACAGCTCGGGCTGCACCGAAGGCCCGCGAAACATCCTCTCGTCTTCCGGGAAGCACTCGCGCACGAGCGATGGGTGGTTGCAGAGCTTCTTGAGAAGCGTTATGTTGGCAAGTGGGGTGGTGCCCTTCATGCAGGCAAGCTGTTCGTACCTGCGCAAAAGTGGATGTCAGAAACTAAATGTTAAATCTCAACTACAGAAAAGGCTCTATAGTCGGTTACGGCATAATAATAAGTACAAGCTCTGCCCCCTCAAGTGTGACGCAAATGCCATCTATTTGAGTTGTGTTCGGTGCTTTTCGTTCTAGCTACAATCACTTCTTCACTGATAACGTAGACTAAAAAATTAAAAGTTTGTCCCGTTTTGTTAAATTATTATGCTTGGCTAAACCATAATCCAAAATCTTTGCTTAAACTTGGCAGTAGGTTCAAGTTCTCAAGCGGAACCAATGATACACTAAAGTAAAGTAGAAAGTTGGGCTAGATGGGACATACTCATCTCGATCAGCCCAGTAAAAGGAACACGAAAACACAAGGAAGTGCACCACACATGCGCTGTGCCTTGTGTCAGCCTTTGCGTCGTGCACTAGTTGTGTTTCTGTGTTCTTTTTTTTATTCCCCGATCATGATGAACTAGTGATACAAACATGCGTCTGTACGGGCAAATCAATTAGCTGAAATAAAGAACAGGCACTCAATGTTTCCTGTATTTCAATGTCACAGAAATTGCAAAATGTGATTGGAAAGGGCATCTAAGCAAACTCAGTTTTGGCGGATCAGTGACGGCTCAGGGCGTGCCTTTAGCACTGTCTCTAGTGGGTTGTAACAAACTGTAGACACTTCAGAATGACACAAAGTAATTCAAACCAACGACATCAGAAGTGGTCATCATAAGGGCGCTTGCCGCACCGCTGACACAATTGTCCCACTCTTTACATCGTTTTGTGCCCTTTTACATCATAACCATGAACCAAAAAGCTTAGCAAAAAGTAGGGGCCTTCACTTTGCCTTTAAAGACTAATGTTAAGGTGTGTGTGAGCAGTGACATGTGGGTTGAGAAAACAATAGTGATTGGCCCCAAAAGAACTTCTTGTGTTTTTGCCAGACAGCACATAAGGTATGCCACATCACTATTGTTTAAAAAAGAAAAAGTCACCTTGGTGACAGCATGACTGATGAGAAGATATGTCAAGTGAATAATTGGAATAGACAGAAATAACGAATTATCATACTTGAAACTGAGATTGTCGTGCATTGACCAGGGTATACTGTACATCGTTTCTGGTATTTTTCTCTCTTTTTTGTTTTGCATTGTAGTCACTCCCTTCGTCACACAACCCTCACTTGTGATGGCAGCTCAAGGAAAGAAAAAGTAATTGCCAGATCTTTAGAGGTCATGTGGTCTTCCAGTTATACGACCATTTTGAGAATACACCATGATGCTTGTCCTCATATCCGAGTGCCGTCATCAGGTTGAAGGAAGGTTTAATACCTTCATTGGCAGTAGTTGTGCTTTCCCTCAGCTGCTGTACACAACTTAACACCATCAAATGCAAAGTAGCAGTTCCGTATATGTGCAAGTGATAAAAGCTGCTCATACGTTCACCAAAGCTAAGTAACTATCAGAATATTTTGCATGCTCACCCAATTTGGCAACCAAGTTCCACTAGGTGGAAAGCAGAGAAGGAAAAGTAAGTTGCATTACAATGCAACGATGGCACCCATACCATGTGCGCTGCATCACTGTCATGGAACAGCAAACGATGTATTCCATCTTGACAGGCAGGTAACGTGACAGGAGTGCATTAGTCCGGCGGATCAGGCAGCGGTTCACAATTCCTATGAGCTCGTCTAGTCTCTCCTGACCACGCGCACGGTCAGCGTCGGTCGAGCACGAGTCCCTGCTTTTCAAGATCGGCAGTTCAAATTTCTTTTTGAACTCCTGCGCCGTACCCAGGATGCCTTGGTTAACGAAGTGGATCAGGCTGAAGTACTCGAGCAGATCATTCTGGATGGGCGTCCCCGACAGAAGCACGCGTCTTCGCGTCTGCAACCCGTTCAGGGCATGGTACGTCTGGTTTTCGCAGTTCTTGAGCCGGTGTCCCTCGTCGCAAATGACAAGCCCCACTTCGCCACTCTGTAGCGCTGCAGCATGCAGGCGGAAAGTCTCGTACGACAGGATCAGCACGGGGGTGCAGACACGCCTGCCGAAAGTCGTCATGAAGCTGCGAATCTGGAACGAATCAAAGACATAATAATAATATCAGGTGTTTTGCGTCCCAGAACCATGATATTGTTACAGGAGGGGGGGATCCTGAAAGACACCATGAACATGGAAGAACGTACAGCGCGAACACAAGACGGGAATACTAAAGAAGGGACACAGACAAGCGCTGCTAGCAACTGAATTTTTATTAACACAGAAGCGGAAAATATATACGGAAAAAACAACAGAAACAAGAAAACTGAAAGAATTTACAGCATGACAAAGATTCTTCCATGTTATTGTTACATGCGCTCTTCTAGAAAAGATAATTCTTTGGCCGATAACCCGATGGAAGCCATGCTGATGCATCGCGAGCCTTCTTTTGCGATATGAGCGGCTTCAATGATTTCACGAGTACGCATGTCCTGATGTCTGCCGATGATTGTTGTTTCTTCAAACAGGGGTGTGCAACCACAGGAGCTGCAATGAATGGCCAAAAAACCTTCTTTGGCGTTGCGCACATTATTTTTGTGCTCTCGGAGGCGGTCATTTAGACACCTTCCAGTTTGGCCTATATAGCAACACCCGCATGAAAGTGGAATGCGATAAATGACATTATGTGAACAATCTAGAAATTTCTTACGATGCTTGGTAGTGCACTGGCGTTTCCTTTTTTTGACAGGACAGGTGACACGTGAAAGATATGACAATTTGTGAGGTGCTGAAAAAACCACTCGAACGCCGCACTGTTGCCCTATTTTCCTGAGACGATGTGAAATATTATGCATGTATGGTATGACCGAAATCTTCTTGCCTCGACCGGTTTCCATGCTTGCCTGCTGAACATTTTCCTGGCAGCTTTTCTTCTTTTTTCTGTAAATTACTTCCGCTACCGATGTGAGCAGCTTATGTGGATAACCTGCTGCTTCGAGCCGACGAATCTGCGCCAAGAAACTTCTAGTGACAACGTGGTGACATGATTTATCTAATGCGTTGGAAAGACATGTTTGAACAATGCTTCGCTTGACTAACTTAGTGTGTGACGATGTGTACGGCAACAACGGTTTTTGTGCTCGTGGTTCGTACATCCAACATGAATGTTGATTGGCAAATGTTAGTCTGAGATCTAAAAAACGAATGCTGTTGTCTTCTGGCATTTCATGTGTATTCCCGTCTTGTGTTCGCGCTGTACGTTCTTCATCATGCAATACCAACTAGCCCAAAGTTTCACTCTTCTATGAACATGGAGTTTACTGAAATGAACTAGAGGGGACTCTGGCGCTGCGATCATTCAGTGACCATGGGAATGATGGGTGGTACACGGATTTGCCTAGTGTTCATGCTTGCAGACGGTGAATGCACTTGTGGCTTCATTTATTGCAGTGTTTTGGTTTTGTTTTGAATAAAAGAACAAACCGTTTTGAACTTTGTGAACCAAATTCAATTGGTGAGCTTAACAGGTGGTGAAGAGTCACAGCCGACCATTAGCCAATTGCTGCTTCCTGACAAAGCATATTCAAGCCACATGAAGCCGAACGGAGCATAAAGTACGAAAATTGGGCAAATCCATGTACCGCCACGCTCACTGAAGCGCTATGCATTGCAGCTTCCATAGACACTAGTGCCGGAGTTCCCTCTAGTATACTGATAAAAAACTATATCACCAGGAATCAAAGACATCAGGAGGCATTAAATTTTGTGCAACTGAAACATGGATGAGTTCATTACTAATCATATTAAGAATGGAGCACAAAAATGCTTTGTTTTTTACATGTGTTGCAATTTTAACATGAAAAATTATATGGGATGCTATACAAACTAATGGAACATTAATGGACATTATGATAGGTTACAGTACACTGGTAGCAGTGTACGCAAATATGCACTTTAGTAATGCTGTCTTCATTTCAACATTTCTGTAAATTCAGATCTTATTTACGAGTCGTGCAATTTCCTAAGGGTATTGTGCTTGAGTTACTAAGCCTTGAGTTATTTGAAACGGCAAAACGCAATCTAAACATGAAGCCGCCCTCTGCAATTCTCTCACACGACACATTCTACTAAGATTCTCACACATGACAGCTTGTTCCCCAACAACAAAAACAACAGGGATCACAAGCTCAGCAGACCTCGGAGTCGATCTCAGCCTTGCTTCCGCTTTCGATGGCAACGGAGCGGACTCGATCACCCAGCCACTTGGACAGCTCGTTGTGCCAGTTCTTCACGAGACTGCTGGGCGTCACGATGATCGCTTTCGTGATGGTGGGCGTCGCAAACTCCGGACTCTGTCGCAGCAGCGTCCACAGTAGGGTGATGCACTGCAGCGTCTTTCCGAGTCCCATCTCGTCGGCCATGATGCAGCCGTAGCTGCCTTCGATGCGGCATCCAGTCACGCAGTCCCACATGAACTTGACTCCTTCGCGTTGATGGGGACGCAGCACCTTGGTGAGCACTGGATCCACCACGACGTGCACGAGTCGACTGTTTCCCGTCATCTGTTCGTGGTTGGTCAGCGCGGGAGGCGCGTACAAGACCAGGGCGCCCTCTTCGTCGGGATCGTGCAGGGGCCGGGGCCCCGACGTTCGCTTGAGTCCCAACGAGCGGCTTTGCAGGCTCGGCACGTAGTTCGGTATGGGTACCTTGTACGGCTTGCAGAGCAGCGATCGTATGAACGCCTCGTGTTTGCTGAGCACCACCCGCTCGCCGTTCTCGCAGGAGTCCCCGTTGGAGTGCGTTTCCTTCGCGTTACGCACCGAGACGCCGTTTTCGTCCTCCTGAACACATCGCCGCTTGGCCAGCTGGCTCGGGGCGAAACACCGACGCATGATGTTTCTGCGCCGGCGGCAACCCTAAGCACGAGCGGCTGGCGAGTTTACCCGTAGGGAAACAAGCGATGTGATTGGCGGCGGTGATTTGCAGTATTCGCAGGATAACTTGTCGCACGTCTCCATGTAGAGCTTTAAAGCGAGAACCAACACGGTTATTTCACTTTAGTGTGCACTATCCGAAAAAAGGCGGGTAGCAGCTGGTTGCGACAGTGTCGCCAATGATAACGGTGCTTGGTAAACCAAGAAACCATAGAAATCATTTATTAACTTTTTTGTGTATTACGTGTTCAAAAAGCATTTAACACTAATTGCAAAAAATTTTCAAAACATTTGTTAGTTGTTTTCTGTATTATGTTATAAAAACTTTGTATAAAATAGATTTTGTTTCTTGTAGTTGCCGATTTCGACCGCCAGAGGTTTAAAAAATCAAAGCAGTGTCCGCAACGAAAGTGACATTTACAGCTCCGTGCGCGCTCGCCTGCCGCTGTTCTTCTTTCGAAAAAATAGGCAGTCGGCAATGCGTTAGGCTGGTGAAATTACACACGCAACGTGTTATCAAATGATACGTGAGTGTAGGAGGCATGGATAACGAAGCCGACGACGCCTTACGGCTGGAGCGACGGGCCATCAAGCGCATCGTCGATGCCAAGCTCAAGGCGAGGCCAGGTGCGGTGGGTCACTGGGACCGAAGAAAGATCTCTTTTAAAAGAACTCGCGGAAATTCAGGCTGGTCGATACGGACAAAGCACGTTTTTGCTTCTTGTTGCCCTCGCTGCGGTATTTTTTTCTTTTATTAGCGAGTGCCTAGTCCACTGGGTAAGCGTGGCTTGCATGGGGGGGGACAAGAATTTCCCGCTTCCAAACTCGCTCCTTCGGTAGTGCTCTGTACCGAAAGGTTTTGTGCTCGTTAAAACGCTGATACGATCGATTAATTGTTTGAAGCGTAACGGCGATCTTGCTACGCTTACGTGTGCCTTCACTGTGCCGCGATCGACGTGAAGGCCACGACTTGTGTGAACTTCGATTGCCCTCGCGTTTGCAAATGAGGCTACAAAGCGGAAGAACACATTATTCTTCTTATCAATGTTATTGCGTGTGTGTGAGTTTCTTCGGAGGGTCTCCGTATTATAAGTAATAACGTAGTCGCAAGAACGGTCGTTTAGCTGCGAATTGTCGTGGACGTATTTTCCGAACTTTCGGTTGCACTCGCACGCCACAACAGATCAAATCACCCCGCTTTGGAATCGATGGTTTTCGCAAATGGCTTTACCGTTTTTATGTCCACGGTCCAACTTGTTGCGTTGTGGACGTATGCGGTTTTTATTGACGCTTTTCGTTTTTTTTTTCTTTTACGTCAACGACACCTCGCCGTGATTGATCGGATCTGCTGTGTTTGTTCACAGCTGTGATTGAAGAAATAGAAAAAAAAAAGAACCAATGTGTGTCGAAGAACTTCTCATATTTTCGCTGCGCTCAATACAAGCATTGATGCTTGAGAATGCCAGATGCGGCTACAGCACTCTTTTTTTTTTTTCCTCCTCCCTCGGTGTTTCCTAACCTTTTCACGGTTCTTCCATTCTTCACTTTACGCAGGCCGCACGTTGTGGCTCAAATGCGGTCCAAACAATGGTAGGTATGTCCCACCGTTTGTTGGGTGGAGGACTTTCATCCCTAACAAAACGAGCGCCGTGGTACGGCAACACATAATACAGACTACGTGAAGCTTCAGTGTGACTGTGTAGTGGTGTGCAACCTATTAAGTTCGAGACGGAATCGAATATTGAACGATTTTCGAGTAGTTTTGGAATATTGAAAAGCAGCTTCAGTAACGTATGAACACATCCTTAGTCTCACTATTATGCCCTCGTGTCTTTTGCCTCTACGTTGTCAACAGAGTGAAATTGGTTGTACTTTTGCAGTAGTTTTGTTTGTATGGGCGCCAGCTGAAAGGCTGAAATATACATCTGCTACTAAAAAATATTTGTTTCAATGAATGGCAACTACACAACTTTAATAATACTTGTGCCACACTGGTGCAGAATATTGTATTTAACTTCTAACTTTCTTACAAACTTGATCCCCTGTGCATGGTGCCGCATTGGTAAATCGAATGGCATTTGCCTTAATGACATTCATTAAAACCCACTCGACCCTTGACAATAAAACTTGCTCAGCTATGTTAAAAATATTTATATGGTAGTTTTCACAGGTCGCCTGCTATTACTTAGTTGCACAGTCGTGAAATGCACTTCTGAATTGCATCGGCTTCAACATGACAGGCGCTGTTTGGGATTCCAGATTTCAAGTTGAACATAAAATAACTGAAATTGCTGTGGTCAGTTGCAATATTGTAAAAGATAGGAACGTACCCATGCTAATAACACCATAGTATCCTCGCTTCTACATTTTACTATCCCTGAATGCAAATTAGAGTAGTTAAAATGTATGTTTATATTTTATCCTTACCTTGATATTGTTCATTTCAAAAGCCACTGTTATCAACATCATTTGGTCAAATGCTACTAGTGGCAGCTCTGCCCCAAAATGTCATTCACGAACTTAATGCCTTAACTACCGAACGTCATTTTTTGTGCTCGTGGGGCACATGGGTATCAGGCACCATTGAATTCAACATTTTCAGGAAATTGCACCCCCCACATGCTACATGATTAGTCAAAAAAATATATGTTAAAAGTTTTCTGTACACTTAATCCTCCGAGTGTGTTACAGTTAGGACGTACATAATTGGGGCATAATTAAAAGTCTTACAATTGTGCAATCATGTCGGTCACCCTCTCAATATACCACTATTGCCCTTTACGATGTGCCAGTAGGCTTTAAAATCCAGCCTGCTCACGATGCTGCCATAAAATACATGCAAACGGACAGCTGTTTCCAATTGTGTCGGCTTTTTATGCCTGGCCTACTCTGAAGCGACCCAGGATGTTAAATTCATTGCCGAAACATTCGTTACAGTGCAGGAAGTACATACAACTGGAACTTAATAAAAAGTACTTCTTTGGTTGCTGTATGGCATTTAGTGACTTTATTAAAGTTACCACCTACTTATGTTTTTTTTTGTTTTTTTACCATTAGATATTACAAATTGGCAAACTACCGTTCTCGCATTGGGTGAACTTTTCAGTTTTACGGCTTTTATTTTGCACTACTTATTTGTTACGTTTGAAAATTTCCGTGAAGTATAGATTAGTTATAAAAATGTACTTGCTTCTCTTACAAAATAATCTAGACAACTTGTAAATGTAGTAGTTCTGTTTTGTTTTTTTCGTAAGATTGAGATGTGTTAAATGTGCCAATCCACTTACAGATGCAAGGGAGTGCTTCACATCTGATATTTCGGACATATCAATATAACTCAATATAACTTGTTGTGTACTAGCATCTTAACTTCATTGGAAAACAGTATTCCCTTTAATGTCTCTGATGCACTTCCTATACACACGCGTTAAAAGGCAGATTGTGTCACAGTGAAGTGAATCGGCTCATTTGGTACATTTTTTATATGTAGTGCTGTGTTATATGAACTGTGTGCGCATCAACTCTTTTTCTTTTAAGTTTCAATAAAGGTAAGAAACAGTCCACCATAATGGGTTCGGCTGCCCCTAACCATGTACTAGTTCAAGAAACAAATTTGTAAAGTGACTTGTAATTGTTGGCAGATGTTAATAATTTTGCCATCTTTCAAAATTTAAATGCGGCCATGTATGCTTGTGCTGTATAAATAGTAGTTTACATCATAAACTTCTATAGCTATAGGGATAGAACCTACTGTAAAAGCAGTGAGTCTTTGGTTCTTTAAGAGTAAGTGCTGATGATTATATTTGTTTACAAAGAAATCACATGCAGTTAAGTAATAAAAGCGCAGCATATCTGTTATGATACAGATTTTCTTTATAGCAAATGAGCCTTACAGTTTATTCACCTCTAATTCATTATGTCTGTGAAGCAAAAGCAAAGTGCAGTTTGACTATCTCAAACGTCACGCACTTTTTTTGTGCCTTATTTTAAGCAAGTACTGAAAGTTTGTTGCTCTATTCGGTCTTGGTGTTTTATCTCTTTCCGTTGTATAGGCTTGAATACAGCTAGAATATAGATGCAAAGAGATGTGGATTAGGAATACTACGCGTAACTATGAATTGCCATTACTACATATTCTTTATTTACAGTGTTACAGTGGGAACAATTTGCTCTTTGCATTGTTTTTATCTCCATACAATGGAGGTGCATAGCTCATTGCACTTCTGTTGTGCTGTACCTAATGCGATAAGTGTATATGGCTTTACCATAATTCTATGTCGATATGGCGAGACAATACTTCTAGGTTTTTTCGTTCCGTGTTTATTTTGATTTTTTGGTCTTTTCTGTTTCAGACAGGCACAGATATAACTGTCATGCAAGTTAGGAATGAGGAGTACCTTTTTGTTATGTTCCAGTCTCTTTCTGTATCAAAGTTTTTTTTTTCTTTTTTTCATGCCCCTTTTTTGTGTTTGCATTGTAGATTATTGAACACTTGTTGCTATATTACCTACATAGTCAAGAAAAAGCTAAAATATTGGTATTTTGAAGGAAAAATTTATTGTCTCCATTTCATATTCATCAAAAGCTGTTTGTAAGCTTTTCCTTGTTATTGAAAGATTTTGCTCTCTGATTGTACTGCACTCATTTTCACTTTATGCTTTTAGTTTTATTCATACAATCTTGTTATCAATATGTAAGAGCTTGCATGCAACTGTACTTGTTTCGTTTGTCTCATCTTCATCTTATTCTCATTAGATATTAAACGTGCAGTAGTAACTCAAATTTTTTGAATGTGTGGATTGTATAGGCTGTGAAAGAGCTAGATGGGTGGTGAATTTCTAGGCTTCCTGTAGTCATTAGCCATCGCACAACTTTGTTTAGGTTTGCCACAGCTGTGTTTCCAGTTCCTTTGTCTGGTTTCTACCATTGCGACTCAAATGAAATATTTCTTTGCAGAGCTGTTTGAGCAGGAAGGGGATGGCTGGAGCAAGCTTGGCTATGCCAGCAGCTTCAACATGGAGCCGAACTCGCTGCCAGACAACGTCGAGCGCATTCACGTCGACTGTGTGTCGCCTGACGAGTTCATCGAGAAGTTCGAGAAGCTCTACAAGCCCGTCGTCATCCAGGGAGCCACGGACAACTGGAAGGCCCAATACAAGTGGACGCTACCCGTGAGTTTCTCGCATGCTCTTATGAAGGCATAAGTTCAGGGGAAGATTACGTTACGCAGAAGAAAAGAAGAAGCACTTGGCTTTTCTTTGTTTTTATCGATTGTTTCATTCCTCTTACCTTTTGACTCTGGCTATTTGGCATTGCTTTCTCCTCCATCTCGCCCACCCCTGCTTTCACACTTGCCCGTTCCTGCTCTTTGGTTTGGGTGATGGGAGGTTGTCCGAATTGTGCACATATACGCATTAAGGTAGGCAACCGCAACATTGTAGAAAACAAAACCACTTGCTGAAACGTTGGCTCCCGGCAACATCTTCCGTTTAAGGATTTTTCATCTTTGCATGCTCTTAGCATCATAACCTTCTGGAACATCTCAAAACACTATTGTGCTGCATGAAGTAATTTGCCTGTTTCACTTGTACTGCAGCTTCTTGTTGAATTGAATCTACACTTGGCAGGGCTCAATGAGCACTTCATGGCCTCTAATAAAAGAAAGTCGATTGGCATTTAATGATGCAATATTATAAAGGAGTAGACATTGATTGACCATATGTGTTACTTCCTTGCATATGCTTATGTGTCTTATCGCTCTTCCTTTGACAGAGGTTAGCGAGGAAGTACCGCAATCAGAAGTTCAAGTGCGGCGAAGACAATGACGGCTACAGCGTCAAGCTCAAGATGAAGTATTTCGTCCACTACATGGAGAACAACAGAGACGACAGTCCCTTGTACATTTTTGACAGCAGCTTTGGCGAAGTGAGTGATTCGATGCTTTTTGTACCACGCAGCTGTAGTACCGAAGCTATTGTAATTCACACAGAACTGCAATTTCTCTCATAGTTGGGAGATTTACTGAAGCTGTTGCAGTCAGATTACAAAAGAGCAGACGAGTTTTCTCAGGTACCCTTTTGGAAAATCACGTTGGCTCGACAACAATATGTTGAAATGCTTCTGCTTGAGCTTCTGTCCTCCTGTTAAAGTTTCAACTTGGCTTAGCTAATGGGAGCTAAAGCACGCATGTGAGCATGTGTAATAGGTACACGTGGTCACCCATGCTTTGTAAAAAAAAAAGAAAGCAGACTAGGTTTGGCACCTGTGGTCCACCTATCTTTAGAATTTTACATGTTTCTTACAAAGGAGCATTTGTGTCACTTTTCATTGGATAGTCTTAACTCAAAATGAATTTCATTCCGAAGTGCTTTTGTCACTAGTATTCCCACAGCTATTTGGAATCTCACCATGTATTTTCTGCAAGGTTTATTTTCAACACTATATCTATTGCTAAACTATTTTTCACTTACTTTGTTATAACTAGCATTTCTTTATATCGAGGTTAGAGTGTACTATTACAGTAACAGTTTTAGGTGTAGAATGATGCATGTTTTTACTACACCCCCTGGGATGGTCTTAAAGGGGATAAAGTGACGTGGTTATGTAATTATTGTATCCATCTTGTAATGGCCTCAGTTTAAGGATTATTACGATGGGTTCTTTATCATGCTTTTAAAACTAGAACATCATTGAATTGCAACTGCGCTTATACTACATTTGTGCTTTCACTTGCAGGGTGTAGGAAAACGAAAGAAGATCAGGGTAGGCATGTGCAAAATATTGACCATACTAAAACTCTGTGTGAAGTGCAGATACCACAACTATGAATGTATTATAATGGATGTTAAATATTTTTATAAGCTTCATAATAGGTTTCTGCATCTTTGTGCAGTATGCCTGCATGCTAGGCGCAGTAAGTATATTGCCACGCACATTTCTTATTTCACTTTTTGTGTATTTGGTTTATGCCTAAAAACACCGTTATGCCTAAAAACGCCGTTAGCGGTGATCAGCACAAACCACGCGTTCAATTTTGGAGGACCTTCTCGATGGTGTTGTATTGTTTTTTAAGATTGCGCGCAAGACTTGAACATTACACTTTCTGCTCGAACTTACGTGGCCGCTAGCGATAACACTGACATGTTCGATGGCACATGTATAAATACTGACACTCATCACCGCTTGTCAGTTGATCTACGGCTGACGCTCTGTTCGCTGCTATCAGGTTACATCTGACCTTCAGTTTCCCGGCCACAAGTTCGGCCAAATAAAGAGTTTCTTTTTGACTAGCCGACTGTTGCATATGTTGACGTAACGACTATGTGACAATATTGATTGCATGGCCCAGTAAGCATTGTTACAACAAGAGAAAAATGCACAGTAGAACTTTACTAATGATTTATTGCATTTTAACTTGGGAAGATATAGACATGCTCATGTGCCATGTATTGAGGTTCCAGAGCAATCACAAGTGGCCAAAATATCTATGTCTTTTGCACTGCCATTTGTTTGCTCAGTGCAGATGGATAACTATAAAGCTGTCATCTATGTCTACATAATGTACAGCTGTGGAACACCGAGGGCTCGTTTTGTATAAATCCACTAAGCGGACTGAACATTTTAGCATGCAGTTCTACAGCGATTCGACACAACTTTGACACTACACAACACAAAAGTCGAGGCTGCGGCACCCCTCACCACCAACACTGCCATTTATTCCAGCGCCACGCATTTCACATCGCCGCCATAGTCAGTCAGTCAGTCAAGAACTTTAATATATGGTCCTGAGGAGTTTAAGCCACCAGGGTGCCCACGTGGGACATCCTAGCAGCCGCTACCGTAGGCGACGCCCGAGTCGGGGCGGGAACGTGGTGGCGTTCCGCCAGTTCTTGGGCCCTCTGGACTGCCTTAAGTTGGTTTCGGAGATTGGGGCTCCTGAGTGCCTCCTCCCAGTCGGACTCACTGGTGAGAGGTCCCTGAGGTAACGCGGGACATTGCCAGAGCATGTGCGCGAGTGAACAGTACACTTCTGTGCAATCTGGGCACTGTGAATTTATGTCTGAGTTATAATGGCTGAGTCGGCCCCGTGATGGGTACGATCTCGTTTGTAACATTCTAAAGGCTACTTCTTGCGCGCGTTCGAGTTTTGAATGGGGTAAAGGGTATCGGCTTCTGTTGTGTCGGTAGTGGGAGGTAATTTCATGGAAGGTGAGTAGTGGGTCATTAAACTGCACGTCTGGGCCCAGCTCTTCGGTGGCTGATTGATCGTCACGGCGGGTCAGTTCTCGTGCTCGATCATGAGCCATTTCGTTGAGGTTGGGTTGTTGTGGGTGAACGTCTTTGCCCATGTGGGCAGGGAACCAAGAGAGGTAGTGCGAGCCCGTATATTTCCGTGTTTGTAAAATGCGGGCTGCTTCTGGAGCGATGTTGCCGGTTTCGTAAGCCCGAATGGCGGCGCGAGAGTCTGTGAAGACATTAGTGAGTGAGGGGTCGGTCATCGCTAAAGCTATAGCAACTTGTTCGGCTATGGCGCTTGTTGATAGCCTAACCGAGGCGGCTGAGCGTAGGGCTCCGTCGCCATCTACTACCGCGAGTGCGAAAGAGGAGGAGTTACCGTATTGCGCTGCGTCGACGAATGCGGTAGAGTTGCGATTCGCGGCGGTACGGTTTAGGATCGCGCGAGCGCGGGCCAGCCGTCTGCCTTCGTTGTGTTGTGGGTGGACATTTCGCGGAAATGGGGTTACCATGTAAGTAGCTCGGACAACTCTGGGGAGGGTTACTGCGCGTTCAAGGCAGGGGTGTGGGGACATGCCGGCCTCGCTTAGAAGTCGGCGGCCTGCCTTGGAGGAGGAGAGGCGGATCACTTGGGCCGTGGTCTGGGCCTCGATCACTTCATCGATGCCGTTGTGCATGCCTAGTTGGTCGAGACGGGAAGTGCTCGTGTTTTGAGGCAAACCAAGGACTTGTTTAATGCTTTTGCGCATGAGTGTGTTTAGTTTCGTCTTTTCTACCTTCGTCCAGTTGTGGGCAGAGGCGACGTAATTGATGTGACTCATTAGGAACGCGTGGTATATGCGCAGAAGGTTGGCCTCTCCAAGGCCTCGTCTACGACCCGAGACTCGCTGAATGAGTCGGAGCATGTTCTCGGTTTTAGCTGTGATATGTTTAATTGTTCTTGCATGACAGCCAGTGGCCTCGACGAGGAGGCCGAGAATGCGTATGGAGTCCACGCGGGGTATTCGCTGCCCATCTTTGGCGTGTAGCGCTATGGGTAGATCACCTAAGGGTGTTAAGTTACGAACGCCTTGGCGAGATTGCCGGTACAGTAGCAACTCTGATTTTGTGGGCGACAAACGAAGTCCAGTGTTTTTTAAGTAGGCTTCTGTGGTATTGAGAGCAGTTTGAAGGGCTTGCTCCAACTCCGCCAATGAGCCTCCCGGGCACCAGATGGTGATGTCATCTGCGTATATAGCATGGTTTATGTTTGGGATCTCGCGGAGTTTGTCAGATAGTCCCTTCATTACTATGTTAAAAAGGAGTGGAGAAATGACTGCCCCTTGTGGTGTCCCGTTGGAACCTAATGTGTAAGTGTCGGATGTAAGTTGCGATAAATGCAGCTGAGCTTTTCGATTTTGCAGAAAAGAACGAATGTACGCCTGGAATCTTTTACCGAGACCAAGGCTGGCAATGGATTCCAGTATAAAGCGGTGTGAGACGCTGTCGAATGCTTTAGTGAGGTCTAGGGCGAGAATGCCATGAACATCTCTCGTTTTTGAGTCGAAGATCTGTTTCTTTAGTAATAGCATGACGTCTTGTGTTGAAAGGTGCGGACGGAACCCGACCATGTTGAACGGAAAGAGTTCGTGATCCTCTATGTAGCGCGATACACGATTTAGGATGACATGTTCAGCTGCTTTTCCTATGCATGAGGTTAGGGAAATCGGGCGTAGATTGTCGAAGTTGAGTGGTTTACCTGGCTTTGAGAGAAGGATTACCGTGGCCGTGCGCCATTGTTCAGGTACCTGGCCAGTTTCCCACATGTAATTAATGTCTTTTGTGAGTAGTGTGATGGCTTGGTCGTCTAAATTTCGCAACAGGCGGTTGGTTACCTTGTCAGGACCGGGGGCTGATCTGCTGTTGAGGTTGTGTAATGCCTCCCGAATTTCTGACTCCGTGAAGGGTTCGTCGAGTTCGGGTATCGTTTCGCATTCTATTTCTGGGTAGTCGGTGGGTTGTGCTGTGTTTAAGGGGAGGTGACGTTTGGAGATTTCTTCAAGAAAGGATGAGTTTGTTCCTCCCATCTTTTTGTGCGAGTGTAGGAGCCGGTCTATGGCATGACTATATATTTATATATAGCCGCCATATATTTAATATTTTTGTGTTTTAACCCACCGGAATTTTAGGCCCCTTTACAGCCGTGCAACACTATCATTGTTCGTATCCTGTTCATATCACTTCAATAGCGTACCATTGCTTTTCGGTCATCACATGGCCCTTGCGCCAATATACACCATACATCATCATCATCAACTCCGAGAGCCGCCTGCGAAGGTTGGCGGCAGTCGATTTGTTCTCAAACTCTTACTTAAGAAAGTAGTGGCATATTCATCTCAAAGGCATTAAAGCCTGCGCCAATGAGCCCACTCTCTAAAGTGTTGTTTTAAAAGTTAAAATACATGGTCGTTAGCCCTACTGTTAGAAAACATCCCTGAGTACATAAGCAGGAGAGAGAGAAAGAATATCAGAAAGGTAGGGAGGTAGACACATGCTCCTGGTTGTGGATCCGAGAAACTGCGCCGACATACTGGTGGGACTTGTAAGCATTTGGCCGCGGCGGTGGGATGTGCAAGTACATGAGCAGGATTATTCTTTTAGCCATGGAGGTGATCCGTGACCTCACAATGGTCATCTGGGCGAAGCCTCTTCCACCTTCTTAAGCTATATACAACTAGTATAACATTGTTTTACTTTTTTGTGCAGGATAAAAATTATAATTGATGGCAAATGTAACTTTCAATGAACTGCAATGAATTGATTTGTCTCAGTTGTTTCACAGTAATTATTTATGTCCAATTGCACATACGTTTTCTCGGAGCTTTCTTTTCATTTTTAGCTCAACCGATTACACATCTTAATGAATTTGACTTTTTTTCTCATCTTGAGTTTTGCCATCCTGCCTGTGAAGTTTCTGTCACAGGCATGTATACGTTCTCGTGCTTGTGTACTGTGTAGATAAATGAGTGTACGCGGTGAAATCTCATCTAACAGGTCCTGAAGTAACCGTGAAAATATGTTCCACTTAACGGTAGTTTCGGTTGTATGTGGGACCAACGGTGAAATAAAAACCAATCAAGTCAGACGCATTTGTTCTGTGTGAGCAGCACCTCTGTTTAAGCAGTTTCCATTTAACGAGTTTGTGCTGTATGCGTACATAGATGCGTACTCGTATATATATAATGTTCTAATGCAAACAATAATTTTTGTTTATAATCATGCAGTTCTAAGATCTGTGTATAAAAGAGCACCTCTGTTCTTGAACATAGGTACATATTTTTTGTCTCAAAGGTTTTAATGAACAAAAGTTTCGCTCGTCCGCTGTCGCACACATGTCAGGCTGTTAGCACTCTGTAAAGCATGAAATCTGCTGCCGAGTGACGAACTCGTCTTTTGTTTGTTTGATACAGCACTCGCGACGTGCCAAGCTGCTGGAGGACTACCAAGTGCCTGACTACTTCAGCGACGACCTCTTCCAATATGCCGGTGAGGAGAAGCGGCCCCCATATCGATGGTTCGTCATGGGCTCTGCCCGTTCAGGCACTGGCATCCACATTGATCCCTTGGGAACCAGCGCATGGAATGCGCTGGTGCACGGCCACAAAAGGTCAGAGCACGTCTCCTTCTACTACATATGAGGCTGAATGAAGTCCCATCTTATATACTGACAGATCAACGCATTCATTCATTCTTTGATCATCCTAAGACAGAACCTTTCCTCCCGATGTATTTTGAATGAAGATTCTTTAATACACCCAAACCTCGATATAACGGGCTTAGATATAAAGAAATATTAGTTATAATGAAATGAAGTCTTGCTGTAGACATAGTGTTAGACATATACCTTTATAATGAATTTTTTTATATAAGCAAACCCATTTTCGTGTAAGATGCAACTTCGTTGTATTGACGTTGGAGTGTAATTACATCATGGTGGGGTGTTAAATATTTGGCAAAACACCTTTAATATGGGTTTCACCTTGTCATGTCTAAGAAAACATGTTAGATGACCCACCTTTCTTTCATTGTATCGTCAGGTGGTGCCTTTTCCCGACGCACACGCCAAAGGAGATGCTAAAGTTGAGGCCCGAAGACGGTGGCAAGCAGGGCGACGAGGCAATAACTTGGTTTCGCCTGGTCTACCCAAGGACGCAGCAGCCGTCCTGGCCCGCTGACTGCAAGCCAGTGCGTACTTCTCATAACAAAGTCCTTTTATTGCGAGACCAAATGTTTGCTACACGAAAGCTGTTGTGCTTGTGTTTCAGCATGTGGGAGCCAGCAGTGTGCTCATCTCTCTTGTCATTCATTCTTATTTTTTGGTGTGATTGGAAAACCATGAAGAGCTGCGAGCATTAATTAAGAATGCTAGCACAAGGCAGCTGTGTTAGCTTCTTTGCCCAATGGTAGCATGCCTCAATTTGCTTGTCTTCTGGAAGACATAGTCGATTTTAGGTTAGGCTAGTTTCAACCAACAGGTTTTGTTACCTTAGGCTTTTCTTCTCCCAACCATTCCACCTGAGGTCGCAGCAGCACTGGTTCTCTCTTTGCAGCTGGAGTTGGTGCAGAAGCCCGGGGAGGTCGTGTTTGTGCCAGGCGGCTGGTGGCACGTGGTTCTCAACCTCGACCACACCATCGCGGTGACGCAGAACTTCTGCAGCCGCACAAACTTCCCCATCGTGTGGCACAAGACGGTGCGGGGAAGGCCGAAGCTCTCACGCAAGTGGTATGAGGCACTCAAGGTGAGGCCAGTCTCACACTACTACACTCAGACTTCATTGTAACAAAGTTGCATCTTACAGAAAACTAAATTTGTTTTATTTGATAATTAATTTAAATGTATATTCCTAGCACTGGACTTATTCCAAGAGTATTTTTCATTTACTTCTTTATAACTAATATTTCAATATATCTGTGTTCATTATACTGAAATTTGAGTGAAACCTCAATATAACAAATTTGGATATAATAAATTATTAATTGTTAAGAAGTAAGTGACCAATAGCTTTGTCATCAGTGCAATGAATAATTGTCTTGAACGAATTTTTGGGTATAATGAAGTACTTTTGTGACAGCTGTGACTTTGTTATAATTAGGTTTAAGTGTGCTTAGCAGTGTGGTTGCAATGCATCTGGTTTTGAGCTCATTGCAGTTTCTGTAAAGTCTTGCAGTGTGAAACATTTCAGAGTGTATAATTATCTACATTACGAAGGTATATGTAAAAAAATTTGCTACTCATCTAGATTTGCCAAGCCTCATCAAAATTCCCACTGGCTAATATCTAAGAAAACATGTTATCTGGCCAAACCTCCTGCTCCATTTCATGGAAAAGCGTAGACCAGTAGATGATTTTCTAAATCTGGTTAATGCAGTTAAAACTGGAAAGGGCTACAGGCACCGTAGACTTGGTGTCCCTGGAATGTAGTCTTGGCTAACATTGCTCATTATCTCCTCATCCGTGCCATGTCTGCTTTCCCACAGCGTTTACGGGGTCATGTTTGGCACGTCAAAGTGAAAAAATTTAACATGGCTGCATCTGTTGAAGCGGAGCTCCTTCTGCCTTCGATTTATCGCGTCGTTGTGCGCTGTGTGACCCATAAGTTCGAAGCGTACGCTTGCTTTATATTTGTGTTCTGAAGCTTCGAGAGCTGTTTATTTCTCGATATTTCGCAGTGTTTGTAAGATATACTCTCTAATTCTCGGGCACGACGCCTATCAGGCGTGGCTAAATGAATACAGCCGACTTCAATGATAAAGACAAAACACAGCTCATACTTTATATAAAGAGTGAAGACTGGAAACAACGGCCAATTTCACCATTAATTTACTGCTGTCAGGATAGGGGACAAGTAGCAAGCGTGGCTTTGGTTCTAAGCGGGCAGTTGCATCTGCATGGGTGCTGCCAAATGGATTTGTAACCACAGTTACTGGCTTTTCTTAGAAATACAACAAACATCTATATTGTTGTGATGTAGTATGTGCCAAATAAACTCAAATCTCTCGTCCTTGTTAACTTCTAAACAATTACATATTAAACTATGTTCTTGTGCACAAGCATGTGACTTGCTTATGTCCTGCCGTATCAGCTTGTGTGGTGCATCCACGGCCACATCGCTGTCCCAAGGTTAGTCACGATCACGTGGGCACAAATGGCCGTGTCCGTGTGCTGCTGTGGAAAAATTGTCTATAGAATGAACAGCAAATCTGCATTGTCATGAATGACAGTTGTGAAATAGAATCTAACGCGCTTTTCAGTTATTGAGTCGTCTTATATGACCCACATGAAGTTCTCGTAGTGAATGCCAACCTTGTCGTACAGCCACTGTAGTGCGACTGTACAACGAGAAGAATCATGTGAATTATTAATATATCTCACCTGCTGATCAAAAAGCCATAGCAGTTCTACTGTGCTGTTTCTTATCTATGAGATAGCGAAAATTAGTGTCAATAAGTGGAGTTAGTGGAATAAAGTTTCTAAGCATTTCATTCTTGTGCCCTCTTTCTCTCGACCAGGAGCACAGGCCCGAGCTAGCCGCTGTTGCCGACAAGGTGGACGTGTCTCGAGATTCCGGTGTTGCCTCAGACAGCTCTTCCGGCTCCAGCTCATCATCCTCCGATTCCTCCTGCTGTTCGAGCTCGGATGAAGACTCTGGCAAGGGCAGCCTAAACGGCTACAAGCGCAAGAGGTGCATTTCCCGTTTTCCTGCGAGTGTTTGACGTCACTTGATTGTTGAGCTGCTTGTGCTCTCGCCCTTCTTCGCTGAGCTCTAGTCGATATCTTATGCGTGTATGCGTTGCTGTTCTCCATTACGCGTCTAAAGTTTTTCCCTAGAGATGGCCCTTGTAGACGGACAAAACGAAGTCCCCTGCAGTGAAGACAGGGCGCTTATAATTGGGTGTTGAGACAAAAATTTTTTGTGCCGTTTTTCGCTGCAATATGTTGCTGGAGGCCTATTAATCATAACAGGGCACATTGCTTGCTGCATTGCACAACAGATAAATTAATTACAGTCTGTTTATTACTGACCATTGCCAGTTTGGATTTGGTAGAGCACCGAGAACAACCAGCAACCATCTGCAACTAATGCCGTCTAAAAGAGCTAGTTGTTGGCCTAATTGGTAGTGCGTAACTGTCTTCATCTTTTCTTATGGTTATTGGTTTTATTTTGCGCTAATATGTCTCTGCCAGATAATGCCATCTAACTTGTGAAACAGTGGACTGAACTAACACAATTCTGCGCTTCCTGCATGATGATTTGCATGTAGCATGTGCCGCGCGGCGTCATTGCCGTCATTGTCATTATCGTTACCTGCTGCCAAAGGCTTTCTTTAACTGACCCTTCAGGTTGCTTCGTATGACGTCAGTGTTATGTGGTCCAGTGTATAGTGCTAGGTTGGGCACACAAACTTCAAAATTCATATAAGTTAATTTCCAAGCTGTATTCACTGCTCAGATCTCGGTTATATCAAACTCAAAGGAGATTGCGAAATAGTTAGATATAAAGATGATTTGAAATATAAAATATGCATAATTGAGACTTTAATTAAGGCATTGTAGGTCTTGAAATAGCTTTCAGAAATCATGACAGGCGTTAACATGATGATTCGCTAACATTATGCTAAACAAAGTAACGACTTCTTTCCACCTTACCGCACTTCATTTGGCAAGAAAATAGTCCACAAACTTGTTTTGCCTCTTGCGTGCCGCCAGATTCATCAAGTAATGTTCAATACCATTCACGCTTTCCAAGTAATCAAACTCGGCGGTGATCGACGCTTAATACCGATGCAAGCTTTGTAGCGTGGTGAAAGGTAGTTACTTGGCGACAGCAGCACCGTATGCTGTTGTCAGGAGTTGTGACGCACTTCAAGTCATGCACGACGGTATTTTACCTGGTGTCACTTCAAGCACCAGTTATCATTTCTTTTTTTGCAATGACTGATTCAGTCTTTAGTTTGAGTATTTTACCTGATGTCACTTCAAGCACCAGTTATCATTTCTTTTTTCGCAATGACTGATTCAGTCTTTAGTTTGACTCCTGAATGAGGATTTACTATCAGAAACAAAACAAGAAGTAGACAGCTCCACAAGCTGCAAGAAACTACACTGCACAAACAACAAAGGAACATTTATCTTGGTTGATGCAGTGCACCTGTGGCGGCGACGAATAATAAGAAACACAGGACAGCGCCTGTCCTCCTGTGTCTCTTAATCTTTGTTGTCATCTCTTGCGCTCTGTATCAACCAAGATAAACGTATACCAACTTGCTCAAGCTTCCATTCATATGCAGTTTATTTGTAGTACAGCAACGAGCATTGCCCTGCCGCTGTGGTCTAGCGGTTATGGCGCACGACGGGTGAGCCGAAGTTTGTGGGATCGAATCCCAGCTGCTGCGGCTGCATTTTCGATGAAGGCAAACATGTTTGAGGCCGGCATACTTGGATTTAGGTGTGTAATTAGATTTGAGTACACTGGCACACTTGTGAGCTGTGACCTAACAAGCACCTAGCTGTGCGAGCGTCAGTATTCCGGCAAACGATATTGTTCTGTGTTCAGCTATGTGTGAAATCAAAATATTTTAGCTTTCATCAGCTTGGCGCTGAAATTGAACGATTTTCAGTGGCTGAAACTTCAATAGAAGACAACGGCTCTGATCCTTCTAGTGCATGACGTCACTGGCACCATGGCAAAATGGCGCCGGGACGGGTAGAATTCGCAGCCGGCAGCTTCTAGGGCCTGTTCTGAACTGAAATATTCTTCTATGACCTGTTTTTCGTGCCTGTATAGACATAATAGACACACTATTTCTAGTTTACACAGAAAACCACGAATGGCTGGCTGACCGTATCGTGGCCCATTCAGACAAACCTACCATGAGAAATTTCAGTGTTCTTTAAAGCAGCAGCACATTTACTTATTATGGCTTATCTACACCGGATTAATATTAATATCTGTTTAAGCAGTAGACTTCCTGCTCTGCCAGCCACCAAAGAGCCAACTTGTATACTTTACAACGGCATTTCCCTCAACCTCTTTAGGTGTGTTGCCAATTCTCTCGTTTTTTAAGGAAACATTATAATATGAGCATTTCAAGGGAAGCAAAAAACTGTAATGCAGACGTTTGTTACATTGCAAACTTTCTTACGTTGAGGTTCTGCTGTAATAGTTGTTTGCACTCAGCAGTGCCAAATGCTTATGCTTGCCTGTATCCTCCTCTCTCTCCATATCTGTGCTCTGTTCTGGCCCAGTCCACCTCTCGTGGTTGCCCAGTGGCACTGGTCATTCTTTGAGCTCATCTGGAAGGGCCTTCAGATCTATTGGAAACTTGTGTTTGTAATACCGTGGCGAACCTACGACAAGGTACGCAATGCCAGTGAGGGTGAAAACTGCCACGCTTTTAGGAACGTGTTTTTGGTAGCCACACCTCACAGCCAACATTTGTTGTTAAGGTAATGAGGGTTGAAATACCTGTTCCTGTAATGCTGATTCTCTGCGCTCTGTTTTGAAGTACGCTCAGTTGTAACCTAGGAAAAAAATGTCATCTTAGCCCATGGTCGTCTCTAGTCCTCCCACAAAGAGCTTCCATAAATGTTCCATCCAATAGCATGTAATACTTTCGTGATGTCATGCAGTTCTCATGTGTTTCAGATAGTTGATTTTCACATACGGACATGTTTGTGTCTCTGATTTTATATTAAGAATCTTGAATGGTCCTGGTCTTGAATTCTGTGAAGCTAGTTTCTGTCACTGTGTAAATTAGTATACATAGTATTAATAAAGTAATCTTTTTTCCATACACTGCTTCCACATGACTGGTACTTACGCAAACCATTCCTGCATTATTTTAAAGAAAAAGTGTTAGCTTAGAGAGTATTCTAAATTTCTTTACATATTCAGTGAGCCATAGGAATGGTTTATATCATTGAGAACATTCCTGTATTACATTTGACGACAGATTTTTAACAGAAACCCATTTTAGGTCGCTTCATTCGACACTTGCAGAAAATAAGAAAATAGCATATTTGTTGCATCGACCAGTATCATAAGTTTAGTGTCCAGGAAAGTACACCGAATTCATAAAGGTGTGTTGTGGTTCACATTCTGCTTTCAAAGGTCCCCTTTACATCAGTGATGTAAATGCTCCTATTAAATGCTCATTCTAAGAAATTACACCGAAATAAAAATAGTGAACTCAGATAAATTTTTTGTGCCACTTTAAATTTCTGACCCAGAAAGTTCTAAGAAAACTGCTGGAAAGATTACAGAATTTTTATCATTATAGACGACCACATTATTCAGTGCTATGACTGAAGCTTGAGTTTAATTGGGAGGGTGAGTTTTATCATCAACTGTCAACAAATGAATCATTACTACCAGCTGATTATTAATTAGCAATCACTAATCAGCAACAAAGTAGGAATCACTAATTGCAGGGGTAATTTTTTAGTCTACCTTAACTTCACGTTGGTCTTTACGAACACTATTTTAATGCTAACATGGCTCTAATACAAATCGTGTTTGCAAGGCTCCACCAAGTGACCACATGGCTGCCGTGCAAATACCATTCCATCATGAGGGCTGTGTCTTAAAGGGACCCTAAAGTCAACAATTTACGTGAGAGTGAAAGCTAAATGTATGACAACGTCTAAAATGACAATATTATCAACAGTGCCCTATTTATGGAGAAATTAAGGTAAATGCACGGGAACACATACGCTGCAGTAGGACATTCACAAAATAATCCCGATGACGTCAGAGTTACAGCCTACAATTAATCACTGGTAATCTAACTAGCTGCACTAAATAAAGAATCTTCCATGCATCAAGAGATGTAATAAAATGCTGCTTGTTTGTTTTTGTTTGATTCATAGAAAAATGAATCGCCAAATGTTACGCAAGTGCTTGAAAAGTTCAATCTTCGCCTGATTAAACAGGACAGGTCATGCCAACTAGCGGGCCCAATTGAACCAAGCACATCTACTATCTCCGAGCCAATGGCAGGAAATTGTTCAAAAGCTGTTGTTGCTGCTGTGGCTTTCGCTGCTTTTGTTCTGCTGCTACTAGTGTCGGCGGCCTCGGAGTAAAGCCGAGCAGTGTTATGCCCAGCAACAGGGACGTGAGACATTCTGCTTGAGGAGGCTAATTTGAAGTGGGCTAACCCAATGCGGGCCTCTAGAACATAATTTTATTTCAAGATAAGCACTTCCTTGGCACAAAAGTTACACTATGAGGTTTCTGGAACGCTATTTCAACAAGCAATGTCAACCTAATAGTTGCCTTAGTGTCCCTCTAATGTCAGTCGTACAAACAGCTTTTTGTGCATCTACAAGTTGTACCTACGTTTACCACATTTCACGAATCTTTTTAAAAGCTCATAATGTTTTCATGATGAGTCTTTACACTAAGCCTTTTTTTGCATTTTCAGAAAGCGCTCATCGAGTAGAGAAGACCGAAGGGAGCACAAGCGGGGCTGCAGCAGGTGTTGAGAAAGCATTTCCATAGACCGGTTGCAAGTGTGCGTGTGATGCCAAAAATGGAGATAGATGGGAGAGGGCCATCGTCATCGCCCGTTACGGTGTGACATTAGCCTGTGACTGCAGTGGACATTGCCGTCTAGACAGGTCTTTGTTCTTGAGACTGCAAGCACCGCAACCCACCCCTCCGTGACTCTGCACCCGCCCCTCCGCTTTTTGTCACTTTTTTTGTCAAAAGAACGTGGCACCATCCAGCATACATGCCGGTAGAAGTCAAGTCACGAGTGTTACTGTCCAGTTTTCTTTTTTTTTACACCGATCATCATTGCCACATGGACAGGGCCTCGATTCTGCATAATTATATTTTAAGCGACCCATCATTCTTCCACTCTTTTCTCTCGTCATTATTTATGGTACTTTGTTGCCATTCACGTTCTTTCTGTGCTCATGCTGCCATTGAAATAAGGTCTTTCCGTGCATCGTTGTTCACATGTAATAAAGAAGAAGTTACAATTATTTAACTGGTGTGTCAAGCTTTGTCAACCCATGCAAGTAGTCGATTTGTGTTGATTGTCTCTTCATTAGCCATGGAGTTAAAGTGTCTCACTCTGGAACTTGAGGACACAAGTATGATTCTTGACCACACTGGGTGAATTTCCATGGAAACGAAATGCAAGTAAACTCCATGTACTGTCGTCTTCAGCATGAGCCACACCACGCGAGCACATGGCCGAGCACACTGAAAGGTTTTAAAGTGGTGCCGATCATGGCACATTTTACAGTGATGCCACTGTAGAATATGCCATGATATGCCAGTCATCACATCCACTTTCTTGCATACATTTTCGAAGTTGTCATTTGCGAAGCTGATGTTACAGCTGTGCAAAACGAGGGCGAGCGTGAAAGCAAGTCGAGGCGATGCGCTCTCTCAGGAACAGCCAAGTTAACCCTCCGCTGATTACTTAAAAGCATGTCACGATGAGAGTCGCTGTATAACCTTGCAGTGTGCTTGGACACGTGCGCCCGCAATGTAGCCCATACTGAGCTTAGAAGTACTTCCATGTAGCGCACCGCCGTGGTGGTCTAGTGGCTTAGGTACTCGGCTGCTGACCCGTAGGTCGCCGGATCGAATCCCGGCTGCGGCAACTGCATTTTCGATGAAGGCGGAAATGTTGTAGGCCCGTGTGCTTAGATTTATGTGCTCGTTAAAGAACCCCAGTTGGTCGAAATTTCCGGAGCCCTCCACTACGGCGTCTCTCATAATCATGTGGTGGTTTTGGGACGTTAAACCCCACATATCAATCAATCAATCAACTTCCATTTAGCAGCACTTAACAGAAGCCCAGTGACCAAATTTATGTGTAGTCCTTTCGTTGTGGTGTGCCTTCTGGTTTCAGAAAGTAAATACCCTGAATTTAGTTTTACAGTTAAAGCTGTTATGACATCACAACAAGGGCCCCATGCACCATAGTGGTCCGCCGGTATCCGTAACCACTATCGCGCAAAGAAAGAAAATTAACTAAATTAACTATGCGAATAAAAAACACGAAGGACACAATGGTATTTGAACCAGGGGCTCTCCCGTGCCAGCCCAGTGTTCTACCACAGCCACGCCGGTGCTTGAAACTCCGTTGCAAACTGACCCTAGACAGGTTTCATGTCGGGGAAAAGGATCGAGTTGGTATGAGTAATAAAGCGTTTTAGAACAGTCGAGAAACAACCAGGCATCAAACATTGCAAGTTGTGTAACGATTTGGTAACCGAACGCTCTTACTAAAGCTTCAGGCATACTTCAAGCATAGTTATTCATCGTCATCAGCCACAGCATCAAAAAAATGCATGAAATCCCTTGCCAAGTGTGCAAAGGTTACCATGCTTCTCCAAAGGATAACATAGTAAATACCTTCGCACTGCACAAAAGTTATAATGACTTATGATGTTGAAGGTACCCTGCAAGTGTGGTTGTATCAGTTACCCAAAGAGTTTTTAAAAGAGACTGTGTGCGCCTTCCAGCTTTCACTGGGACTGCACTGCGCATTGCCCGCAGACCTTACGAAATTTTACTGACTGTTTTCTGTGCGTATTGGCGATTTCGTGAAACTGAATGTTGGCCTAAACAATGTGATTTCCTAATGTGTTATTTAAATGGTCGAATAATTGTCCAGCTACAAGTTTCATGATGCGCTAGTGCCAGTGCGACGCGTTTAAATTTGCTTGTTGACGCAGGGCATGCGCATTAAGGAATTAGTCGGATACAGTGTTCGGTTGATAAAGCAGCGGCTTTGGTCATCCGGGGTGTGCATGAGGCTCGCTGCCTATGCATTTTTCTGAAAAGTTGGACAGTAGAACAGTGTGCACACATTTGAATAAGATATGTACGACCTCATGTCGATTTTCTTTTCCCATGTAGTTCCAAAATTTCACAGATTGACTCACAATATGTACAATGTGGTGCAGCGAGGAACTTGAGAGGAAAAAAAGTTAAATGTCATTCATAACAGAAGAAAATAAAAGTTAAGATTTGTGGAATATGAACTGAATTGGCCTATAAAGGGTCTAGAATGATGTTTGATAGGCTTCTAAATGAAAATTTTTTGAAGCTGCAAGTTTTTGTTTTACAGCGCCTGCTCAAAATGTGATGACAGTCCACTACATTATGATGTCTGTAGGTACAAAATTTTACTTCTCGCTCGGAATAAGTAGAACATTTATGGATGGTGACCACTCATCCGAGACTCTAGAAGTATGAGGAACTGTCAAAACGTGTTGGATTAGCTTGGAGCGTGGGAAGGGCGGCACTTTGTGGTGACTCCCCTCTTTCCTAAGAGCAAATATAGTTTAAACATAACACTTATGTCCTCATACCTACCCCCGCCTGCGCCCCCCCCCCCCAAAAAAAAAAAGAAAAAGTCCTGGCGACGATTATTGAAGCTAACATCTTCTCACGGCCAGATCGTGAAAATGCGGTTGTCCTCTATAGGACATAAACGGTCGAATGTTACGGCAACCCACCTTCTGGCTCTAAAAAAAAATAATAATAAGGTATCGAATGATGTCACCTCACTACTTGTTGCACACTTCGTAACGAGTTAATGGCGGTTCCATGCCTTGAACCTCCACAAACCACTGCCATTGACCACTCCAAATGTACATTCGTCCGCTCATTCATTGTTTTTTTTTTTTTTTGCTAATATCTCGTACGATTGTTCGTTTCAAAACATCCTCTATGTTTGTAAGTCACATACCGCTAGCTTACAAATCAAATTTCGCGCTGCAATCTTTATTTTTTTTATTTAAACTTAATTTAGACCTTTTAATACTACAAAAGCTTTCAAAAATTTTTAAACTTTGAGGCGTTGAAGCAACGTACACGAATTATTTGAGAATATTACTACAATTCTTTGCCATTTTACCCAACTGTAGAGGGCGCAATAAATGACGTAACAACTTCCGGCGTAGCGTGCGTGCGTGATGTTTTTCCGGTTTATTGTGTCATGGCCGCCGTCGCGTTGCGCACGGAGGAGCTGAGGAAGTGAAGTTGAGAAAGGTGACAGTGAACATCCGTGGAAGCTGCCGCAATACCACCGAGAAAAAGGTGCAAATATGCGCGAGCGGCCAGCCAGCTGAAGGAGCGGACAGGGACATTCAAAGGCCTTCATCGGTGAGAACATTTTTACCGTTTCACTTGAAGTGACATTTTTTTTTTTCTTTCTCGGACGCCTCCAGATATTGCTGCCGCATTCACACGGAAGGCCTGTCCGTTTCGTTTGTCCGGATGTCTACACCGCGCTTTTCTTGGATTCCACTTTCTCTTATACCGAATTAAGGGAAGTCGGGAAATAGAACATCTTCGGGGGGGTCTCTTCATCTTGCGAACTCGTCGCCTTATCCGCAAAAAAATAAAATATCTCTCTCGAAGTACCGAGCTACGCCGTTTTTCGGTGCTGCTCGTGCAAGATCAAACCCACATGCCGAGCTAGTTATCCACAAAAAAGAAAGGAAAAGAAACGAAGATGATTTTTAGTCTAGCCTTTTTTTCTTTCTTTTATATTTGTCTCCCCTTCCTTGCCACTTTAAGGGGTTGCCCCACCGAGCTCGTCAAAACGAGGTAATTTCGAGCGCCTATATTTGGGGGCACCGCTCATAAGCGCCCTTCAAAACTGAGCCTGCCCGCCGAAGAGGGATCATATGAGATGGAGCAGCACTTCTTGTTAATTTTTTTTTTGACTGTTTGCTTCGCTCTGCGCTTCGGCTATATACCATCGGGCCAGCTGCAAGTGTCGCAGTCTTCTTTCGCTTAGTGCGCGCGAGCGCTTTGAGTATTTGTGCGCTTTGAGTATTTGTGCGCTTTGCGTTTTCGCGGTCACCCGCATTTTGCTGCTGCTCCGCTCGCTTTCCACCGGGGGCCGGGCCGTTTTGGCACTACTTCTGCCCGGTTCATGTATATTTAACTTCAATGGGAGCAATTTTTTTATTATTGTTATTGTAATTTTGTGTTGCACGTAGATGAGGAAACTGGCGAAGAGTGAGGCCAACAGTAAGTTTGCGAACTTGCGGTAACATCGTTAACAATACATTGACTAATAAATCGTCAACGTAGCTACTGCGTACAAAGTGTGATAACGAGAAAGTATTTAAAAAAATTTTTTGAGGAAGATAAAAGCTCGAAGACATCAAAAATTCGTGAACACGGCGTGTCAGTTAGTTGCGGCCTTGAGGCAGACAAACCCTCTTGTTAAAAACGTCGCATCCAGCGACAACCCACGTGCACGAATTTTTCAGCTCGTTAAAAAGCGTGTCGCCTGGGGCGATTTCGATCGCAATCGAGCTCGATCGAGATCTGGCTAATGTCCGCTTGATACGAAAGGGACCCACTCGTGACCGAAAAAAAAAAATCCGATTAAGGTCGGTGGTCGATCGCACGTAGTCCCAAACAGTTGTATATGCAGGTGGGTCGCAAAAGCGACGATTCCAGAATAATTCCGCTTTGTTGCGGACATTTTAGGAAACAGAAATTCGGTACAGAATATCTTTCCCGTTTGTCCCAATGCCGCCTGAACATCTCGCATGCACCGATTCATCGTAGACGGCTATTGCGAAAATTTCGGTACAACGAAATGTCCACAGTAAGGCGATGATACCAGCACGTCGTCAGTTATCTCACGCACCATATTTGGTTTTTCTGTTGTCCTTGCTTGCACTGATAAAAAAGCTTCACGTTTTACGTGAACGCACTGACACTGCGTGACTGTGGAACACCTGACATTTTTCAGGGAATTCCCAGGATCTGAAAAGTTTACGAAAGTAGCGAATGATTTTCGGTTCGGTTTGCTTCAACCGGGGAAACCGTACGGTTTTTATGCTTTGCCATAGGGAAGCGATATTTTCATCCGAATTGATTGCAATCCGCAAATATAGATAGTTATAGATTTGATATAGTTCGGATATAGTTTTGTGAGAGTGAACCTTGCTTGGTGGTTGGCTCGACTACGTATAACGATACGCGGGATCTCGTGGTGCATTCCAACTGCAGTGTACTTACTTCAACTGACTGCCCCATCTCATTAAATTAAAGTATAGTATTTACTCAAGAGTATATGTGGGCCAGCAGTGCCCTTCTTGGAACCGCAGAACAGCCACTGTGCATGGTATATATAGATCCGCCCATTGTCTGGCGACACGACTTCCTCTGTCAATCTCTCTCACGTGATCCCGTATTAAGTCTCGTACCGCAATGAGCGCCCTGAGAAAATTCCCGCACATTTGAGGCCGCACATGTCTTTGCGCCGCATGGCTCAACGCTAAAGGCTGTGCCGTTGGTCCCGGGATCGACCGGCGGACCAAAAGGATTTTTTCAACAACTAAGATGTTTTTCCTTTCTTTCTGAGGAATCCCTACGGATTTCCTTGCGACTTCGTGCCACAAACGGGTGGTTGTCTTATTTCCCTTTCTTAAAAAAAAGAAAGCCAGTGTTGATATGATCATCTTCCGAATGAATATAGATAGCAGTGGTTGCACCGATGCTCGTTGGCGGGCAACGCGTGTGTCCGACTTGTCGGACGAGCAAGGCTGCAGTTTTCGAACTTCTGGCTTCTCTGGTTGCTCATGGGATGGGGAAAAAGAAATGTTGCTGATCAGTGATCAGTACGAGAAACTTTCGTTATTGCGGGTGTGCCTTTTAAAATATCTTCGCAGACGAGAGTGGGCAAGTAGGTGTTCTGTGGGCAAGTGCGTTGAAACTAATGAAAGTTCCCCGGGGGACGCCAGATTTCTTCGTTGCCGTTCGGTTTGTAAGGGCTTTCGTTATGGAGAAGTTCAACTGTATTAGTCCAAGATGGCGACGCCGTTAATCGAAACTAAAATATTGTGTGTGTGTGTGTGTGTGTGTGTGTGTGTGTGTGTGTGTGTGTGTGTGTGTGTGTGTGTGTGTGTGTGTGTGTGTGTGTGTGTGTGTGTGTGTGTGTGTGTGTGTGTGTGTGTGTGTGTGTGTGTGTGTGTTGTAGTGGTTAGATGAGAAAAGACATCTAATTTCTGCAACCCGGTCGGGAGCACGGCGCAGTGCCTTTGAGGAGTAGCAGTCGCGTATTGAATGCTTGCGAAGTAGACGTTGCACTTCACCACATTATTGACATGCTGCACCGTTTTAGAGTGGGAATGCGGGGCACTTGACTCTCAGGGAGGACCGTGCAGCTTACAAGTAGAGAGAGAGAGCGCGGAACGAGGCTGGACGGGCGACACAGGTCGAGCGTGACCGCGTCGTTTGTAGCAGCGCCGTACGCCTTTTCCCCACTCGATGGTTGCGGGGGGGGGGGGGGGGGGGGGGGAGGTAGTTCACGTTCTCCGCTGCGTTCCCGTAGCGCGACACAACGAGACCAGGCAAAGCTAATGCGATTTGCTAGCCCTAGTCCGGAGCTCGACCGGACAGCCCGACAGTCGGTGCGGCCGGGTCACGCGCCGTCTCCGGTCATGTCGGCGTCAAGGGGAACACGCTGAGCAGAACAGTAAATCAATGAGCCGAACGCGACAGTGAATATATAATCGAGAGAGGCCCCCGTTTAGAAGTAGTAGTGGTGGTGGTCGCAGCCGGTAGTCGGCAGTAGTAGTAGTAGTAGTAGTAGTAGTAGTAGTGGGGGTGGTAGTAGTGGTGGTAGTACTAGGGGTGGTAGTAGTAGAATGAAAGCGGGCAGTAGTCGAGGGGGTAGTGTCAGTAGTAGTAGTAATAGGGGTGGTAGCAGTAGTAGTAGAATGGTAGCAGGCAGTAGTCGAGGTGGTAGTGGCATGAGTAGTAGTAGTAGTAGTAGCAGCAGCAGCAGCAGCAGCAGTAGTAGTAGTAGTAGTAGCAGCAGCAGCAGCAGTAGTAGTAGTAGTAGTTGAGGTGGTAGTGGAAGTAATTATAGTAGTAGTAGTAGTAGTAGTAGTAGTAGTAGTAGTAGTAGTGGCCGTAGTAATAGCTAGTAGGCGTCACGCAGGTTTTTTGGTCAGAGCTTGGGGAGAACTAATGTAAAAACTAACGAAATGATGATGATGATGCTCGTGATCTCGCGAACCAATCACATACTCCCTCGCGCTTTCGGCCTCACTGTCTGTCCGACGCTTTTCGGGCACGGAACTGTCGCTTTTTTTTTTTTTTTCAATTGAATGCTCATCTTCTCTTACATGATATGTCGTCATAAAAATTAAAAAAAGGGGGGGTTTTCCGCATCACACCGTATACAGCATCCGACTCCTGCCAATCGGGAGTGAAGGTATGATATATATGGTATAATCAATGCGCTTCTTCTATACAGAGCTTATGGAGGTTATTCCAATAAGAGACTGCCGTCGTAAAAAAGGCGGCACTTGTGAGCATTAACTCGACTTGTGGGTTTTGCTAATTGCTTTGCAATGATTTATAAGTCATGGGGATGTTTTCGAAGGTTCATAGGGATGTGGAGGTAGGGGTATTTTTAAGTGGCCATGGCATATATGCATAAATTTGTGTTAGTCTATAAATGATTCTTCGCTTCAAAAGTAGTTGAAAATTTATCCTGTGGAACAAACTCCAAGCATTCTGTAGAATACTTTGAGCAGCCGGAATATATCCTTTAATACCTGTTGTACTTCTTAGTGCACATCGAATGAAGTCGTTTTAGCAGTTTGTTCAGAAGCGAATAAGTGAATTTTTTTCCCGAATATTAAGACAGCCTGTGCAACTGAATGAAGTTGCTTCAGTTCTATTCTTGTGAACAATTCGTTTTTTTTTCTTTTTTAGAAAATTGATCTAATTTGACGGGAATGGTGTCGTCGAAGCGGACAAAAAAAGACGCAATTAATTTTTTTTTAACCGTAATGTGGCGCGAACTGTGGTATCCACAGCGCCGACATTGCAGCATTCGACATAAATGATGCGCCTTCGTCTTTCCCTGACATATCATTATTGTCAGCCTATATTATGTCTATTATATTACATTATTATATTACAGTTAGGGATAAGAGTTAATGGAGAATACCTTAGTAACCTGCGCTTCGCCGATGACATTGCATTGCTGAGTAACTCAGGGTACGAATTGCAACTCATGATTACGGAGTTACACAAGGAGAGCAGAAAGGTGGGTCTTGAAATTAATCTGCAGAAAACGAAAGTAATGTACAACAACCTCGGAAAGGAGCAGCGCTTCGAGA